ATGCTTTTCAAAATATCCACTTGCTATAGACCACCACCACCATGCTCGCTCACGCGCCACGCTGGACTCCAAAAAAAAAAAAGTGGAGGCGTGAGCAAAACCACTATACTCCGCAGAAACCAGCACTGAATATACATCACAAATAATAACAAACCATGACATCGACATATATATAAATAAACTGGTTGTTTGAGACTTTCGGAATCTCCGATACTCATTTGCACACTCTGGGGGTCTCCTCCCACATAAACCCAGGAAGGGCACGCTCACCACTATCCAAGTCATAACTAACTCGACCTAGAACGGAAACGTTCATCCATCCAGGTCAACAATCTACTCACACACATACCTCAGACATGATAAGCGATTATAGGCATTGTAATACCTAATACAGGGTCCCCACATATAGCTGATAATGCAAGTGTTGGAAAAGGATGCGTAGCTGGCGGAGACTCGACTCTCGTTAAGTTACAAAAATATTATGTACAATATTTCTAAGTACTCAGCTCAACTTGAAAACTCGATTCTTTAATTACTGATCTTACTTAGTTGTTTGCTCGCTGGGTTAAATCATTTATCTCATCATCTTGTCTAATTTTAACGGCTTGCTGAATTAATAAAAATTACGAGCTAAGTTTAAACAATTTCTATCTTAAGGCTGTCTAAGGTTCTTGGATACCTAAGAGCGTGAAGTACAATAAATCGTCTAAAACATTTTTTTTATCAAAAGAAAATTCAAAACGAATATACTACCGCGGTTATTTAATTGGTGTCCATCAAACGACCAAAGTGAAAGCCTCATTAGTTTAAATTGTGAAGATCAACTTTAACTCTATCTTCTTTTGCATCCACATCCGTAATATGAAAGTCTCATTAATTTCCCCATCCAACTCCGTTTCCAATCTAATATAGAAGACAATAAAATACAAAAATACATATTGCTGGTTGGGTAGCATACCGATTTTTATTTTCCCATTTAAAAAGAAAATACATCCAGTACTATGTTTATTTAATAAATTGCATAGTCAAAATGCATTCAAACTTGGTTGTTATAAATTCGAAGAAATTTATAAAATTAAAATATTTTAGACCTTCTCCAAGCAACACAAAAACTCACTTTTTTGCAGTGAAATCACCCCAATCGAACGGCAAATGCAAAATGCGTTCCTGCCTTATCTATTTGCGTCTCAGCGCATANCTAACATTACTAACACAGATTGAAATAACATTAATACATGATAAATCACGGTTTAAAGAAAACATTTAAATAACTAGTGTTGAAATGAAATACATCAGCAATACTAAAAATACGTCATAAACCCAGAAACTAAAAACAAGGACGAGAATTTAGTAATCTGGCAAGTTGACACCGCTTTTTTCAAGATCATTGAAAAATTGACCAAATGCATTGGTTGGAAATGGATCTGATTTGGCTTGTTAACTCTTTTATCCAAGATTCGTGCTTTTTCAGCTTCAATATATGCTCGAACTCTATGATCTTCTATCGAATTGACATCTTGAAACAAAATTTCATTTTCTTCCTCATTTCTTCTAAAGCATGGGATCTGTTGCGCATCTTCAATTGGCGTTTTATTTGGACGTTTGTATTTTTCATCTCCTTAACAAGTCTTTTGTTTTCTTCCTTCATAGAATTGATGAATCATCATTTACCTTTTTTTTTAGTTTGGTTTTCTTCACGCCGATAGGTCTTCAAATGGAGAACCACTAGCAAATTGATCCGAGTCGCTTCAATATAAAAAAATTGAAGAAATACCTAGGGATTCTTGTCAGGCAGACTCGAGAGTTGGATTTTCTGACTCCGAAGATGGATAACGACCAGATTGTTTTTTTTTTTTCTTGCTCCTCGTAGCTCCATCTTTAAAACTTTCGAAATCTTTAATAATAATAATATCCTAGACGTAGTCGTATTTTCATCCAGATTTGAATTTGAAATCTTCTTTGAACAACACTTTTGCTTTGAGTATCTACAATTTTTCATAAACAATTAACCGTAGCTAATATAAATAATAAATTTAGTAAGTAAAATAAAATAATAAGATTTTAATACTCATTGTATCTTCACCACTCTGATGCATATCATCTACTACTTTTATGCATGCATGTAGTCTCTTGGTTGCATTTGCGATTATTCGAATTCGTACTTGCATAGATCTCTTGCTACGAACCTCCCAGTGCCCAAGTCCTTCTTCATTGAAAGCTTTTTCTATGAGGGACCAAAATCGATCAGATGATTGGTATACTCCAATAATTGGGTACTGAGAAATATCCATATAAACTTGATATAAAATAATATCTTCATCGTGGTTATAGGAAGATGAACGGATCGACATTCTTACAAGAAGTTAGATGTGATAGGTTCAGTGTACAGAATAAAAATGTTGGGATGTAGCCACTACAATATCATATCTACCTTTATAGTGAAAGACCCTCTCCATAGTTTAACTCGAAATGACCACTCTCTGCAAAAGTTCTTATATTTTCCAATGTTCTGACTTGAAAATGACCACTCTATCACACTTTTACATGTTCTAACCTGAAAATGACATAACATTGCAAACTTCCCCATGTCTCCCAATGTTCTGACCCGAAAATGAACACTCTCTGCAAAGGTGATCACGCTTCTCCATGTTCTGGCCTGAAAAATGACCTATGACTACAAAGTTCTCCACATTTCTCAATGTTTTGACCCGAAAATGATCTCTCTGCAAAGGTGATCACGCTTCTCCGTGTTCTGTCTCGAAAATGGCCTATCACTGCAAAGTTGATGTAAAAAAGAATATTCTGATAATATTCTTTTGAGTTTGAGAATGCGTTTGACGTATACGAGAATGTACAACAACACGGGAAACTTTGCAGTGATAAGTCATGTTCGGGTCAGAACACGGAGAAGCGTGATCATCTTTGCAGAGAGTGATCATTTTCAAAGCATTGACAGATGTGGGGAACTTTGCAGTGATAGGTCATTTTCGAGTCAAAACATGTAGAAGTGTGATCACCTTTGCAGAGAGTGATCATTTTTGGGTCAAAGCTTGCGAGATGTGGGGAACTTTGTAGTGATATGTCATTTTCGGGTCAGAACATGGTGATCACCTTTGCAGAGAGTGGTCATTTTCGAGTCAGAACATTGAGAAATGTGAGGACTTTTACAGAGAGTGGTCATTTTGGGTTAAACCATGGAGATGGGAGAGGGTATTTCACTATAAAAAAAATGATATTGTAGTGGCTACATCCGAATATTTTTACTCTATACACTAAACCTTTATAACATCTAACTTCTTGTAAGAATGTCGATCAGTTCATCTTTCTTTAACCACGATGAAGATATTCTTTTATGTCAGGTTTATACGGATATTTCTCATGACCCAATTATTGGGGTAAACCAATCATTTGATCGATTTTTGCCCTGTATAGAAAAAGCTTTCAATGAAGACGACTTGAACATTGAGAGGTTCGTAGCAAGAGATCTATGCAAGCACAAATTCAAACAATCGAAAAAGCAGCTAAGAGACTCCATGCATGTGTAAAAGCAATAGAAGATATGCATCATATTGGTGTTTCAAATGAAAATATAGTGAGGATTAAAATTTTATTATATTTTTTACTTATTAAGCTTACTATTTATATTAGCTATGGTTAATTGTTTATGAAAAATTGTAGAAGCTCAAAGCAAAAGTGTTGTTCAAAGAAGATTTCAAATTCAAATCCGGATGGAAATACGACCACGTTTGGGATATTATTAAAAACTTCAAAAAATTCAAAGATATAGCCACGAGGAGCAAGAAAAAACAATCTGGTCGTTATCCATCTTCGGAGTTAGAAAATCCAACTCTCGAGTCTACCCGACTAGAATCTCCAGGTATTTCTTCATTTTCAATTTGCTAGTGATTCTCCATCTAAAAGATCTATCGGGTGAAAGAAAGTCAAACTAAAAAGAAAGGTAAATGATGATTCATCATCGCTCATCAATACTATGAAGGAAGAAAACAAAAGACTTGTTGAGGAGATGAAAATACAAACGACCAAATAAAACACCAATTGGAAATGCGCAATAGATCCGAAGCTTTAAAAGAAATGATGGAAGAAAATAAAATTCTGTTTCAAGATGTCAATTCCATAGAAGATCCTAGAGTTCGAGCATATATTGAAGCTGAAAAAGCACGAATCTTGTAAAAAAAGCTCAACAAGCACAATCGAATTTATTTCCAACCAATGCATTTGGTCAATTATTCTATGATCTTGGAGGAAGCGGTGTCCACTTGCCATATTACAAAATTCTCGTGCTTGTTTTTTATTTTTTGCGTTTACGATGGATTTTCATTTTTAGTATTGTGTGATGTTGTATTTCATTTAATCACTAGTTATTTAGAAGTTTTTCTTTTAACCATGATCTATCATGTATTAATGCTATTCAATCTGTATTAGTAATGTTGTTATTTAATATATTTTTCTTGTTAAATAAAAATACCATCAATAATATGTATATTTTACATTATTATCGTGAAATATATAAAATTAAAGAGTAAATATGATATATTAACTATTTTAAATATTATATAATCTAATTTATATGAAATTATTTTTTTAGTATTTTACATTATCATTATTATTTTGAATTAATATAAAATTAATATTCATTAAAAAGGAACAAAATGAGACTAAAGTGAAAGACTTGGACAAAAATGCAAAAAAATAAAAAATAAAAAATAAAAAATGGGACGCATATTTTGCGTCCAGAAGCAAATTTGCTTGGGAAAGAGGGCGATTTCACTGCAAAAAATGAGTTTTTGCGCTCGGTTGGAGAAGGTCTTGGCTAGAAAGAGAAGACCCAATTCATAGGCCAAACACACGTGGACCTAAAAATGTCTTTTTTATATATCTTCTCATGGTCGCCTCAATTATACAACCTCAGAATATCGAATCATTTCTCATATCTCAATCGCTATTCACCGCCCCCTATTACTACTCACNAAGAACAGAAGATGCAAAGTGAAGAAATTACCCAGCAAGTAAAGCAAATTGGTGGGGCGAAGTAGTGCCTAAAGTTTGGTGGCGCCGAGTACAGATTCTGCGGTGGCTGCTGTTTTTGTTAGCGCCAGAGCAGTGGGGGCGGCGGCGGCCTGGATGCCCACCGCTGGTCTCTTTCCGGTGGATGTTATGGTGGCAATTGCAAGCGGTGAATCGGAGGGCCTCTGGGGTGTTCTCTTCGCCGCCGGACTCATAAATTGCAAGCGGCGACGTCGGCGTGATGGTAGTGGTGGTAAGGTGGATCTAGGGTTTGGTTAGGACTACGCATTTTCCAAAAATAAAATTCGTGAGCAATTCAAGTAAGTAATTTTTGTTGCCAAGCAGTAAAGGCTGGAAGTAGTCAAAGTTTAGTCTTGTTCAACTTTTGTGGACTGGCCGTGTTGACTAATTACAAGAACATCGCATTAAACTGATTAAAGTGTTCTAATGAGATTTTCGATGCTGCCATTTCAACTCTCACATACAGCAAATACAATATTATAATAAATTGTAGACTGGGTCACCCCCTTCTCTATCAAATTATGCAATGAGGTCAACTCAACCATCAATTATAATTGAAATTGTTCAAAACCAGGTTTCAGCATAACATAGAATTTAATATTTTTTTTTTTCCCAGTTTTAGAACAGCTTAGGAAATATGATGAACAGGTTGCAGAGAATGAGCTCATGGTTTCTTATCAGCTTTTTGCTTGTTTCAACTCGGATTCTGGTTATATTCGGAATCACAGACAGTGGTGATCGTAAGTGTTTTTTACACCTTTTCAATGATGTCTTTGCAACTTCCTTTTCGATTTTTTCTTTCACTTATACACCCGTCGATGTTATTGATTCGAAGCAAGATCATGTTTGTTTGATGAAGGTTGATTTATTCCATGATTTGCTCAGTGTTTTCTCTTTTACAGTTGACTGGTATGTAGATGAGAAGTTCGTTTTGATTTATCAAGACATCAATCTTAACTGCCTAACTTCAGCTACATTCTTGTTCTTGAAATATATAACAAAATGAAAACATGCATGCTAGTGAAGATGTGTTTTGAGCTCAATTTTAGTTTGTCAATTGTTTGGAACTAAAATCGCGTGGACAGGAAATTGGATGCCGTGAAAATACATAGTTTTTTCTAACAACTGTTGAACCCCACGCATACATTTGTTTTCTTCATCTCTGTTTTTATTGAATTATTTATTTATTTTTTTTTTGGGAAGTTGCTGTTCTAAATGCTCTAAGATCTAGCTGGAGGAATCTGCCCCCAAACTGGGTGGGCCCAGATCCGTGCAGTGACAATTGGGAAGGCGTTAATTGCACGGATACACGTGTCACCTCCCTGTGAGCCACCGTCTGTTTATGCTACTATGCTTTTATCGAGTTGTTCTTATTATTATTTTTTGTGTCATATTTATTTCTGTACCTTATTTATATGGTTGCTCGAATTGCAGAAGGTTAGGGGGAATGGGCTTGGTAGGAAGTCAATTTGGGGACCTTTCGTCTTTGACCGGATTAGAGTATTTGTACGTCATCTGTTTCTGTTGCTGGCTTATAAGTGCTTAATTAGCTAGGACGAACAATTTCATGTTATTATAATTCACTTCAAACGAAATTCGATATGGTTCCCATTCTGACGATGCTTTTAATGTTATAAAACCAGTATCAGTAGATTGTATTTTCCAATCTATAAATTCTTTTTAAGAAGTTGAAATCCTCATAACGTGTAAAAGTAAGAAATGAACTGGAATCATTTCTTTTCTTGTCATCATGTGTCTTAAGTTACTTTGGGAAAATTAAAGTTTCATTATTGTCGTTCGGTTTTCTGAGGGTTATAACTTATAACCCGTGGATGCATGCAAATGCAGGGATCTCTCAAATAACATTGGCCTTAGAGGGACTCTTCCTCCTTCTATTGGCAATTTGGGGAACCTTACAACTCTGTAAGATTCTTATTTTCTTTCTATTAGTTATATTTTCTACTGAATAGCATGAGATCAGGAACCGACATTTAAATCTACTTGTTTCCAATGCATGTAGGATATTAGTCGGTTGCAGCTTTTTCGGTCCCATTCCTGATACAATAGGTTCTCTCCAGCAGCTTCGATATATGTAAGGAACTTGATTGCAAATACATTTTACTTAAAGAAAAAGAAAAAGTAAGAAAGAAAGAAAGAAAGATAGAAAGAAAGAAATGCCTAAAAGCATGATTGTGCAACATATTAGACAAAATTGGCGTAATGCCAAAGTAGAATGTTATTTACTTTCCTTTTCCCTTTTCCCCAGAATTTCATTAGGAATCATGTTTTTGCTACAGATCATTGAATTCAAATGGGTTTACTGGGCCAATCCCACCTTCCATTGGCAACTTATCTCGGCTGTCTTGGCTTGATCTCGGTATGAACAGGCTTAACGGTACTATACCTGTTTCTACTGAAACCACGCTAGGTTTGGACATGCTACTCAATGCCAGGCACTTGTAAGACATTTTTTTTTTTTTTTTTTTTTTTTNTTTTTTTTTTTTTTTTTTTTTTCACAATTATCTCTCTTTGTTCATATTTTCGGTCTTTGTTTCTAAAATATTTGTATTTGATTATCACCTGATAGAATAGATCTGTGTCTGTTATTTCGTGCAGCCATTTCTCTCATAACCGGCTCTCGGGTCCGGTCCCTGATCGCTTATTCAGTTCGAATATGAGCCTGATACATGCGTGAGCTTGCACTGGCCTCATGCATTTTCTTTTTTCTTTTATCTATAAATCTCATCATTCGTACAAAGAAAATTATATCTATAATTTTATAATTGAGAAATTATAAAGTACGACCAAAATCGATGGCATTATATGACCCATTTAGAGACCCCGTGGTGAGTCTAAAGCCTTTGTTGCTACTATAATGTTCCTAACTTATATTTCATATTTTTACAAAAAAAATTGAGTTACTTGACTATCATTTAGCCATCAAGATCGATATCTTATATTATATTGGCTTGAAGTCTATGTTGTCTAATTATTACCACTATTCAATAGCTCATTGAAGCATTGTATAAGTTTCTTCTTTATGCCATCTATTCAGACAAGCTATTGAACCTTTTCATATTAAAATCGATTCTAATTGTTTGGGAAATGTTTGAGAATACAATATATTAGCAAGAACTAGATTGTTATAGCCAGCTTACCGGTTGTCTGAAGTTTCTTCAACTCATTTGCTACATATTTTCTTAGGATATTTGACAACAACCAACTCACAGGAAATTTGCCAATTTCTCTGGGACATGTTCAGACATTGCAGGTCATGTGAGTATATTTGTACTAATTACAAAATCATTACGATACTTGCTATATTTATATAGCTAACTTGTGCTGAACATCTTCTCTTGAATTCAGACGCTTTGATTGGAACTCTCTGGATGGGCCCATCCCTCAAAATCTCAATAACCTCACGAGTCTAAATGAGCTGTAAGCAGATCATCAATCAACTCAATACTTGATTTAGCTAGGCACGACTATCTCAAAAATCATAACACGAAAAAAAACAAAAATGCATTTCTTTGTTAAACTTGTAAACAAATTTGTTTGATGGCTGTTTTCTCTTAGGTATTTGTCCAACAACAATTTTGATGGTATCATTCCCAACCTCACTGGCTTGAACTCATTATCCTATGTGTAAGTCGTTATTGATTATATCCCATCCTCCAATTGAATTGATCCATCCTTTTCATGTTGTTTTATGTGCCTCATTAGAAGACTTTATTAGATTACCATATATACCTTAACTTACCATCAAAATTTGCAGGGACATGAGCAATAATAGCTTTAATGCATCCGAAGCTCCACTATGGTTCTCAAGCCTCCCGTCTTTAACTACATTGTAACTCTCCTCCTCCTACCTTCTCTGTCTCTCATGTTGGTCCTTTTACGTTCTAAAAGCACGATTGAAAAATGTATTACTTTTTGTGTCTGAATGAGAAATTACAGGATAATGGACAACACCAGACTTCAAGGACAAATTCCGGTCGGCATCTTCGAACTTCCTCAGTTGGAGACTCTGTAAGCTCATCATATCTGTGTTATACATATTTTCCATGGTTTTCTCCAATTTACCAAAGTAAAAGAAAAAAGAGTAAAAAAAAAAAAAAAAGAATGTCTGATCTATAATGTTTATTTCCAACAGGGTTCTCCGAAATAACAACTTGACTGGAATCTTGAACATTGGCAACACCTATGGCAGTAACTTGTCCGTTGATCTACATAATAATTCCATCACCGGCTTTCAGCAGGCAGCGGATTACCGCTTGAACCTAACGTATGCTTAACCTTTCTGTTTCAATATCTTGCATTTTATATAATCATTCCACAATCTTTTACTAACTTCATTGATTTGCTTCTATTGACTACTCCAAGAGTTTAGTTTTTCGCAAATAGTACTGCCAAAGGAAAGAGAAAAAAATAAAAAATAAAAAAGTTTAGGGGGTGTGATCATTTGGGATTTCAAGTGACAACTTTTTAAGATTTGAGATTTCTTAAGATTTTTAGATTTTGGAAGAATTCTGTGAAATCTTAATTCTAGAAGTGGGATTTCGTATAAGATTTTTTGTTTAGAAATCTCACAAAATCTTAAAAAGTCTTAACAAATCCCAGTCTCAAATAAATTAAATATCTAGGATTTTGTAAGACTTCTTAAAATCTCAATTGAATACCCCAAATACAAAAATATGTGATTTTCTTTTTCCTTCTCCTTTTTTTTATGAATATTTCTATTTCAGACTCGTAGGCAACCCAGTCTGTAACATAAACGGGCCACCTGCACGGTTTTGTTCCGTGGGCACACGTGGCAATGATCTTTCACTATCAAACAATTGCGGGGCCATTTCATGTGGAGCAAACGAAGTGCTGAGTCCTAACTGTCTTTGTTTGCATCCGTACACCGGGACCCTCCACTTCTTCTCGTTTGGCTTCACAGACTTGCAAAACTCGACTTACTTCAACATCCTCCATGGGACACTCATGTCCGCTTTTCTCTCCAACGGGCTCCCAGTTGACTCGGTCAACTTTACTAATCCGACAATAAGCGACTTTTCTTACATGGAGGTACCCTTGCATATATTTCCTTCTGGACGGGACCCGTTTAACCGGAGTTTGGTTTCTAGTATAGGTTCATTGCTCAACCGCCAGCTGGCACCACTTTTCCCGGTCCGGTATTTTGGACCTTTTTACTTTGTTGATGAAGAATATTGCTGCTTTGAAGGTAACATTTTAAAAAAGGAACTACACACCTCAGGATTAATTCTCTAGTAATTTTTTCGTTTTATTATTAATAAATATCTTTCAGGGTCGAGAGGGTCGTCGAATGTTGGTGTCATAGTTGGCGTGACAATAGGCGTCTCGGTTTTCGTGATCCTGATTATCCTGGCCGGTATTTATGCTATTCGTCAGAGGAAACTTGCAAAAAGAGCTATTGAGAGGAGCAACCCTTTTGGTAAATNTTCTAGGATGATAAGTAAATATGACATTTTAATCATTCTGTATGTTGAATATGAATCATGATGCAGCATCATGGGACCCCGAAAAGGAAAGTGGTGCAGTTCCCCAGCTTCAGGGAGCAAAATGGTTCTCCTTTGAGGATCTCCGGAAATGTACCGACTATTTTTCTGAATCGAATTGCATTGGTGATGGAGGATATGGAAAGGTTATTTCTCGCCACTCTAATCACGTAACTTTGAATAAATTTATCCTTTTCGCATAGCTGGTCAGTGTGAGTAAAAAAGCACCTATAAATAAATAGATAACAATATTAGTAAAATACATATCGGGTTTTGGTTGAAAGGTTTACAAGGGAACACTTGCCCAAGGACAAGTGGTAGCCATAAAGCGAGCCCAGCAGGGGTCAATGCAGGGCGCGCATGAGTTCAAAACCGAAATTGAGCTCTTGTCCAGAATCCACCACAAAAACGTGGTCAGCCTTGTTGGGTTCTGTTACGAACATGGAGAGCAAATGCTGGTGTACGAGTACATATCTAACGGCACACTCAGGGATTGCCTTTCAGGTAAATTTGGAATTTTAACGTTTGTTTTTACTTTTTACTTTCCTAATCTAATTCGTAAATGCTGGTTAATTTTTTGTAGGCAAGTCGGGATCCCGTTTGGACTGGAACAAGAGGCTGAAAGTAGCCCTTGATGCTGCCAGGGGCTTGTCGTATTTGCACGAGCTTTCGGACCCTCCCATAATACACAGGGATGTTAAGTCAACTAACATCTTATTAGACACTAATTTCACTGCTAAAGTTGCTGATTTTGGCCTCTCTAAGCTCTTGGGTGACACTGGCAAAGGCTACATCACCACACAAGTCAAAGGGACATTGGTCAGCAAATCAAATTTCTTAAAAACTTTTAATTTGTATTAATTCAAATAAATTCCATTGTGCTACCCTATATGTATTAATTCATGAATATACTAAAAATAAATTCATGATGTTGTTTTCACTTCAGGGCTACATGGATCCGGAATATTATATGACCAATCAGTTGACTGAGAAAAGTGACGTGTACAGCTTTGGGGTAGTGTTGTTAGAGCTTGTGACCGGTCAAGCCCCAATACAGCGCGGGAAACACATTGTGAGATTAGTTCAAGAGGCAATGAGAGGCCCAAACCTTGATGATATTATTGATCCAGTTTTGGGGTCGGGCCTGAAACAAGCTGGGTTGCGGAGATTGTTGGGCCTGGCAATGGGCTGTGTCGAGGAAAGTGGGATAAACAGGCCCACTATGGGGGAGGTAGTCAGGGAGATTGAGAACATAATCGACGAGAAAGGGAATAAAGGGCTTTCTTCATATAGCTTCGATGATGATGATGATGATGATGATGATGAGACAAGCAACGAAGAGAGTGCCCTTCATTCTTACGCAGCCTAGGGGTTTTTACTTTTTTTACGAGTTATGATTTGTTCCCTTTTTTGTGTAGAGTCAGTGCCAGAGTTATTGTCGCTTCTTCGGATTATTTGTTTTCAAGTTCATTCATGCAATTATTTTGGTGTGCCGTTTCATTATGTTGAAATATGAGGGAAAAGAAAAAAGAAAAAAGAAATATGAGGTGGATTTTGGCAAGTATTGCTTGTATATATATAGGTTACAACTTACAAATGAATAGTTTTCATGTTTTTGGTAAGTTTCACATCTGTAGTGGTAATCGTCCATGTTTAAGGAACTCGAGCTTATCATTACAATAGTAGCTAATCTCATATCACAACACGAAAGTATCCAACAAACAGAAACCACCAATAAGGAACTCGACTTGAAACCAGTCATGGTCAGAGAGCCTCTCAAGCCATTAGTCTTTGCTCTCTTGCGACCATGGCTTTAAAGTAGGCTAAAAACTACCAAAGCAGCGCGAACCCATCTTTCGAGTTGGGATCAGTTTATGAAGCCGTAGCTACAGAAACTGTCATGTACCCGATTAGGGACAATACATATTAGATTAGTATTATAATTAGTTATTTTAAATTAGTTTATGTTATGATAGGCAATGGACTTGAGTTAGGGACAATAGTCCTCATATTAGATTAGTACTAATTATAATACTAATCTAATATGAGAACTATTGTCCCTAATCAAGTACATGGCAAAAACTTATCCTTTGGCACACCATGCGGTTGCTCGAGATTGACTGCATTACAATATAAAATCGTAAAAAAGAAACTTTCATATCTTCATTGAATCAAACGTTAGAAAATACAAAGATCTCATATGCGTTGTTGTTTGGATTGAAATGAGAGAGAGAGAACTAAAGTTGCTACTTATCTATATCTGTACCTATCTATATCTACATCTATCTATATCTATATCTATATCTATATCAATACTACTATAAAAGAACGAGTGTTTTTGTAAAAAAATAAATTACGTAATGACAATTTAGTTTAGTACTATACTAATATCCATCTCATCTTATATTTTAAATTAGAAAAAATGCTACAACTACATAATAAATGTACATAGAGGTGTACATAATACTTACATGGAGTGTGGTTGTCTAAACAGTTTGATATGAAAGACTTAAGTGAAGCAGGACACATTTTATGATATTAGGGTCATTCGAGACGGTAAGAAGAGAATGTTGTGCTTATCCCAATCTACATACATAGATATTGTCTTGGTCAAATTCAACATGCAGGATTCCAAGAAGGGTATGTTACTTTTCAGACATGGAATGACTCTATCCAAGGAGATGTCTCCAAAGACGTCTCAAGAGATAGAAGACATGAAGACAGTTCTTTATGCTTCGACAGTAAGAAGTCTTATGTATGCTATGCTGTGTACGAGGCTGGATATTAGTTACGTCGTTGGCATGGTAGCTAGATATCAAAGTAATCCGAGACGGGAACATTGGTCTGCGCCCTGCAGTGAAACATATACTCAAGTTCCTGAGAAGGACAAAGGAGTACATGTTAGTGTACCGTGCAGACAGCTTGTTACCTCTAGGTTACAGTGATTCCGATTTCCAGTCAGATAGGAACGAGAGTAAGTCAACTTCAGGTTATGTGTTTACCTTGGGAGGTGGAGCCATTTCATGAAAGAGTGCTAAGTAGAAATGCGTGGCAGACTTCACCATGGAAGCCGAGTACATCGCAGCCTCTAAGACAGCGAAAGAGGCAGTTTGGCTCAGAAACTTCTTAGTGGACTTAGAGGTGATTCCGAGTTTGTCATATCACCATGTACTGTGATAACAGTGGAGCAGTAGCGAACTCAAGGGAACCACGAGCCACGGAGAATTTGAGAAGTCGGAGGTTGACTTCATTCCAAATTCGATTTTATGGACACGAAGAAATGACTTTATAAAAAGGAAGGAATTCGATATTTTTGCTAGCACAACACAGCTTGCATCATCAGCCATGGTCCCCAGTAGAATCCAATCCAGTGCAAAATTTCAAGAACCCTTTTGTTTTCCGGTAAGCGAAATCTAATCATGAACGAAATAATAATGACAAACAGGGGTTGACGGGTGCGGTCCCACGGACGAAGCACACCAAATCAGGGAAGCCCAAATGAAGCCCAAGTGAGGTTCCATCCCAAAACCAATTTGTGGTAGGAGGTGTAGCCCATTAGACTTATAAAGTGGGTCTATTTTCCATATAGACGATGTGTAACAACTCACAAGTGTATATTCTAACATCCCCCTCACTTGTGAGTCCTTCGGAAGGACAAGTCCAATTGAGCTGGTGACGGGTACGTCATTGCACGGTCCGACGTAGGCCCAAGCCCAATTGAGCTGGGTGAACCGGTTCTGATACCATGACAAATGGGAGTTGACAGGTGCGGTCCCAAGGACGAAGTGCACCATATCAGGGAAACCCAAATGAAGTCCAAGTGAGGTTCCATCCCAAAACCAATTGGTGGTAGGAGGAGTAGCACATCTATAGTATTATAAAGAGGTTGTTGGAAAAATACTTTTATAGTAAGTTTGACTAAAAAAATAAATGGTTTGACTTACTATTAGTGGAAATTTCGGAAAAAACACATGTACCAAAAAAATTGAGATTTTTATGGTAACAAATTTGGAGATTTTTATAGTAACAAATTTAATTGAGATATCCCAAAAAAATTGGAGATTTTTATGGTAACAAATTTGGAGATTCCTATACCAAAATTTAATTCATTTTAAATATTAATTCCATAGGAATATACTTTTATTGGTAACAAATTTGAAGATTCTTATGCCAAAAAATTGAAATTTTGAGTTGAGACATTCCAACAATTACGGATTTTTTTCCCATTCAAATTAATATTGTAAATCAAACAAAAAATTATTCCAAAAATAATGGATGTTATACCAAATATTGATAAACTCCAATCCCATATGAGATTTATATGGGATTCTTATGGTAACAAATTGGAGATTCTTATGCCAAAAATTGAGATTTTGAATTGAGATATCCTAACAATTTTGGGTTTTTTCCCCTTCAAAATCATGTTGTAAATCAAACAAAAAATTATTCCGAGAATAATGGATGATATACTAAATATTGATAAACTCCAATCCATAGGAGATTTCTATGGGATTCTTATGTTAACAAATTGAAGATTTTTATGGTAACAAATTTGGAGATTCTTATACCAAAGATTTAGTTCATTTTAAATATTAATCACATAAGAATCTATTTTTATTGGTAACAAATTTGAAGATTCTTATGCCAAAAAAATTAGATTTTGAATTGAGATATCTCAACAATTACGGATTTTTTTCCATTCAAATTAATGGTGTAAATCAAACAAAAAATTATTCCGAGATAATGGATGCTATACTAAATTAGTATCACTGGGCCCACACGTTAATATGATATTAATTAGATAGATAAATTACGTAAATCTTTCCTAACAAAATGCGTTCCAATATTGTTAACCAATTTAATGGGATTTTGTTAACTAATTTGATAGGATTTTGGTAACCACGGGATTTTGTTAGCTTTTCATGGAAACACGTATCTTCATTATTGATAAGATTTTGTTTCCAATTTTTTTTTTATTATTTTTTTCCTCTCTCAAAAATTTGATAAGGTTTGATAAGATTTTGTTTCCTGTTTTTTCTCTCTCTCAAAAATTTGAGTTGTGGATTTGAAAAAAATAAATAACTAAATAAAATAAACATATCATATTGATAAAGTTTTAGTGTGGGCATAAAAATCAATTTTGATTTGATTGAACTTTGTTTCATATAAACCTAAGAGAATCAGACGTTTGAAAAAATAAAATATTAATAGTAAATAATTATACCATATTTGTATGGTTAGATTTGAAATATTGAGGCATAAAAATCAATTATGATTTGATCACATTTTGTTTTATAGAAGTTATCTTAGAAAATTTTACATGTTTCAAAAAATTAAAGATTATAATTTCGTAAATTAAAGTTTTGGATTTGTCCAAATAAATAGGAAAATATCAAAATAAAAATAATATTTTTCAATCTATCCAAAAGATCTTACCAAATTTCATCGTAACAAACTCCATTATTTTTTGCTACATAATCTTCTAAATATTCGTTCGTCCCTCACAAGTGAATCAAGTTCCATATTTTTTTTTTATTTTTTTAACAAAACCGATAACACATATTTTTAGAAGTCAATCATAATCATAATAAAAAAAAAAACAGATCGGATCATATTAAATACCTTACGTAAATATTTTTTTATTTCCCAGACATATGGCACATACACATGACTATATAAACATCACCAACATTGAACAAAAAGTATTCGACATCCAATACATCCCACAAAATAATTTTTTCTACAACAAAATGGTTTCGGATTTTGGAGTAATGAAGGATATCAAAAGATCCAATAAGCCACCAATCAAGCTACGCATAATTAGTATGTTCCAACAAGTTGAAGACGTACGCAATTACCGAAATGTTCTTGAGATTATCTTTCACGATTTTAAGGTAATATATTCTTTTATTATTATTTAAATGCATCATTTTATGCAACATCTTTTATAATTTATTTATTGAATTATTCATTATGCAATATTTTGGGGAGAACGAATTACTGGTATGATTCGACCTGTCAATATCCAAAAAATCATCGGTGATATTGAAGAAGGTGACGCTTATTTCCTGACAAACTATCAAAGGGAAGCAATATTGGCATCCATAAATCGACAATTGGAAAAATGAGGATCATTATCATGGTCAAACCAAGATTATCAAATGGAGGGGTGATTTTCCTATGTATCGTTTTGACTTTAGGAACTTTCTAACTTTAATGGATGTTCGTAACATGGATGAAGTCAGGTTGTTTGGTACGTTATAATTTTTTTGTTTATTTCTTATTTCAATTTTTTTTAATTTAAAATTTGTAATAAACTATTTTATATGTTATACGTTTCAATATGATGCATTTTCTTATATTTTTGTAGATGTTATTGGATTGATTGTTTATAATTATGTTTTCTTACGACATGACTATAAATAAGAGTCAGGAACAATCATTATCGTATGTGGGCTTATTTTCTTAAGAAACCAGTGTTAGTCATGGCCAATTGTATGTTGTTGTCTCCCGTGTCACAAACAGAAATGAGTTTGAAAATCCTAATTTGTGGCGACGATGACGTGCCAAAAAATCAAACCATGAACGTTGTATATAAGGAAGTGTTCAATAATATATAGATTTTATTATCATTGTATTTATTAATTTATTTATTATTAATGACATGATCTTTCCTTTAGTAAGTACTTTGAATTTTAATTGAACATTGCTTTATAAAAGGGATGGAGATAATAAACCCCCGTGCATCGCACGGGGACTGTACTAGTTAGACTTATAAGGTGGATCTATTTTCCCTGTATAGACTATGTGAGACAACTCACAAGTGTATATTCTAACAAATAAAAATTGCAAATTTTGTTGGCTACACGTCTTTGGCATGAGTGCTATGATATTATGTTCTTGTTCACACTTCGGTTCCACCTAATGCACATTTTTTTAATTTTTGTAAGAACTTCAACCAATTTTTTTTTTCCCGTTCAAGTCTTCATGACGATTTTGACGATTTTAATAACATGTATGAGGAATCAACTTGCTGTAAGGATCCCACTGACTAAATAACCCCAAAAATTGAATTTTTGGAACTATCATTAACAAGACAGCAAAGGGTTCATGTTATCATCAACCAATTGGTAAAAGTTGCATTTTTGGATTCGTAAATAAATATGTCGTGAATTCTCTGTAAATCATAATATAATATGCAGAGGAAGTCAAAACTGGCTTCCTGTTGTTAATTCACAAGTATAAGTTGTTGACTTTGTTCACATGGTGAAGAAGAGAGAGTTGGACGGGGCCACTTGTTCTACTCAACTTTTTGAGCATGGTTTAATTAATGGAAATAAATTTGTTCAAGTTGCAGTCATATATTTTTCTTAAAAAAAATATTATGGTGGTTGAACGGGTAAAATATGTTTACTTGGACGTTTCAAGCATTGAGTGAGACATAAAATTGGAACCAGTAAGAATCTGATTATGAGAACTGTTAAGAATATGAAGATGAGCACAAGTCAAAATGTGGTGAAGTTGGTGTTGTTTTTATGAAGGCGTTTCCAGATTTTTATGGTTTCGTAAAATTTGAAAGCTTTGGTGGTGGTTTATTTTGTGACGATGATTTGGAGAAATCACCTGTGTCTGCTTTTTGCTTTGCTCCAAGTTTTACATACTTCTGCATTGACAAATAATGATGATTGTAAGTTTGTAAGATTTTGCTCTCTCCCTCTCTCTCTCTCTCTCTCTCTCTCTCTCTCTCTATACATATGTACATTTTCNTGCGCGCAACATGTTAATATCAAACTTCAGCACATTGGCAAGCATCAACCTTAGTGGTCAACTCTCTTCAGACATTGCAAAATTAACCGAGCTGCTGACCCTGTAAGTTCTCTGTTCTTTTCTATATGCCTTTGATCTTTTGAATGTAAGAGACCTTTTCAAGTCAATGTTTTGTTTCTGATCCTATAACGATCTTTTCTACATGTTTTTATAACTCGACTTTTGTATGTGTAGAGACCTATCATATAATAAGGGTATGACTGGACCACTTCCGGCAGCAATTGGAGACGTGACAAAGTTGTCGAGCTTGTAAGAAACTCTTTTATGGCATTGCAATGATTAGTCGATGTAAACAATAATGTTTAATTTAAAAAAATTCTTTGACGCGGATTGCAGAATACTAGTCGGTTGTGGATTTTCCGGTTTAATACCACCCTCGATAGGCTCCCTACAACGGCTGAGATATTTGTAAGGATTCAAGAGCTTTGTACTTTTTTCCCATTGTAAAAGAAAAACAACAAAGTAATAATGAACAGAATTTGCTTAATTAATTTTTATCTGGCAATGTATACTTTGTGAGCAAGAAATGCTTGATGCATTTGGTTTAGAGTGATATAACAGTACTTTGAGTAACGGCTTAAGTTATTATGTTCTTTTTTACTCTTTAAATCCCATCGAAAGATCAAAATCTTATTTCGATTGCATATCTAATGATTTTTTTTTATTTTTTTTTTTTTCGTTTATAAAGGTCGCTTAATTCAAACAACTTCATTGGCGGGATACCACCTTCCATTGGTAACTTATCAAATCTTTACTGGCTCGATTTAGCTGATAATAAACTTACTGGATCCATTCCCATCTCAAATGGAACCTCACCTGGTCTTGATATGCTTGTGAATGCAAGGCACTTGTACGTTTGTTCTCCTTTTTTCCGATTTAAATACACAGACTTCCATTTATTAGCTTTGCATGCTTTGCTACCGGTTTAATTCGGACTTTTCTCAATTTTCATGCAGCCATTTTGGAAAGAATCAGTTGTCTGGCCGAATACCACCGCAGCTATTTAGCTCGAATTTGAAACTCATACATTTGTAAGTACCAACCACTAGATACAATCCAGAAAGACCATCTGTTGTACTTTCTACTTTGTGCGGTTTATTTACATGTGTTTCGTTTTTGTTTCCCTTTTTCAAATTATACTTAGGCTTCTTGAAAACAATCAGCTAAGTGGATCCATACCTTTGACACTGGGGCTCGTGCAGACACTGGAGGTTGTGTAAGTAACTTAACCAAATTACAAAACAAGCGAATTTTGAGCCGCTTTTACAATTTTTTTTTTTTTTTTTTCTTTTGCTGAGTATCCATTGTTCGAATTACAGGCGGCTTGATAGGAACTCTTTAAGTGGACCTGTTCCAGAAAATCTTAACAACCTCACCTCTGTCCAGGAGCTGTAAGTAAAATATGTATTGTCAAAATGATATAATTTCCTGTCCTTTCGTCAAAAAAAATTTTGACACACAGTTGAATGAACATTTTCAGGTTCTTGGGGAATAATAGGTTGACAGGACTCGTTCCTGACCTAACCGGCATGAACACACTCAACTATGTGTAAGTTAAATGCATAAAAGTATCCCATCTTATTCTTTTTACATATATAAATAAATATGAGTACAATTCTAAAGCACAATATCATGGTATGGTGACTAATTTTTTTGGAACTAAAATGTTTGCAGGGACATGAGCAATAATACATTTGACACCACAGATATTCCACCATGGTTTTCATCTTTGCAGTCTTTGACTTCACTGTAAAACATCTTTTATTCATTTTTTTTCTTCTCTTTCATAAAGATATTACATGAATCTGATGTAATAACTCGAAACCTCCAGGATAATGGAGAACACACAAATTCAAGGGCCACTTCCAGTTTCCCTGTTTAGCCTTCCCCAGTTGCAAATGGTGTAAGTTAGTTAACTCTTTCGACAAGCTCATGTCCTTTCACCTGCCTACACAAAACTTAGCTCTTCTATCATTCAGTGCTTTGAAAAACAATCAGGTCAATGAAACATTGAACATCGGCTCCAGCTACAGTGACCAGCTTCAGTTGATCGATTTACAAAACAATAGCATTGATGCCTTCACTCAACGGCCGGGCTACAATATCCAAATCATGTAAAAACACTAATTGTACCCTTTTTTATTTTTTTTCTTCTTATGTTGATAAAGTTAAAGTGGTTTTGAATTTTGATTAACATCTGCAGACTCTTGGGAAACCCAATATGCAACGAAGGAGGCGAAACTCAAAACTTCTGCCAAATTCCTCGACAGCAAAACACATCATACTCAACACTCCCAGAAAACTGCACACCTGTTTTGTGCAGCTCGGATAAAATTTCGAGCCCCACATGCCAATGCATGCACCCGTACAATGGAATGCTGTTTTTTCGAGCTCCAGCATTTTCCGATTATGGGAACACAAGCCGTTTTATCTCCCTTCAGCAGAAATTGATGTCCACTTTTCAGTCAAACGGACTTCCTGTAGACTCGGTTTCTTTGAGTAGTCCAATGAGAGACTTAGACAACTATCTCGTGCTCAATCTGCAAGTTTTTCCATCTGGCCTCGATTATTTCAACCGTACGGGAATTTCCAGAGTTGGGTTTATTCTAAGCAATCAGACTTTTAAGCCTCCACCTGAGTTTGGGCCATTTTTCTTCCTTGCCAGCAGCTATCAGTATTTTGCAGGTACTTGATTGTGAAAACTCTTTTTTTCCCTCCATTTTATCACTTATATTCTGTTTTCATGTGGGTTTTTGGTATTAATTAATGATCAGGCCAGGGAGAGAGGTCACGCAAGTCATCAAGCATTGGTGTCATTTTAGGTGCAACTGTTGGTGGTGTGGTTCTCTTTTTGCTGTTAGTGATTGCCGGAGTTTATGCCTTCCGGCAAAAGAGACGAGCAGAATCGGCTGCTAAAAAGAGCGATCCTTTTGGTAATGTTTGTCTCTGATCTTGCTCGACTTGTGTAAACTGTAATTGTGTTTATGAACAAATCTCATCAATTGTCATGACAATCTTATTTTCATACTTGCAGCGGCGTGGGACCCGAATACAAACAGCGTTGGAGTTCCTCAGTTGAAAGGGGCAAAATGTTTCTTGTTCGAGGAACTTAAGCAAAGCACGAATAACTTCTCCGAGGCCAATGATATTGGAGAGGGTGGCTATGGAAAGGTTCCGATTTCATCGTCTTCTGTCCCGAAATT